AGACGAGAGGCGCCGGAGGAAGAAGAAGAGCAGGAGGGCCCGGAGGAAGACATCTTTGTTGGTGGCTGCTGGTTTGGTATCTGTTAGCGAGGACTTGGAAGAGGCAGGACACCAGGAGGGAAGTAGAATGTCTGGAGTGGAGTGCTTCAATTGGTTCGAGTGTACCAGTGCCGGTGCAGCTGCTGGTGATCCAACGCCACGCTAAATAGAAAGCAAGAGAACGGAAGTAAAAGAAAAAAAGACAAAAGAAGAGGTATAACTTACGCAAAAGCGAGGAGAGATTGGTAGTGGTGATGGGGGTTGGTCTAGACAAGAGAAGGGGAGTTAGTCGCTGGAAATGAGGCAGAGAGAAGACAGAGACTGTGAGAAGCTGAAGCTGATGATGATCGGGCCGGTCTGCTTGATTCAAGATTCAAGTGAATCCCAAGTGGAAGATTTGGAACAAGTTTGGGCTCCAGGATCAAAACGCCAAGTGATGTCGGATTCAACTTACGCGACGAAAAAAAAAGAAGCTTGGGCTTTGGTATGTTCTCTGCAAAAGAAGCGTGGCGGTTAGCTTAAGGTCTTTGGTTCGGGTCTGCTTCAAAGCTGGAGCCATGGTTGGAACAGATTCCTTGCACAGCACCCAACCAAGAGCGAAGACGAAGATCGCAATGCCAGAACTGCCCGTGAAGGAGCAGTATGACGAAATCAACATGCCCAGATCTTGACAGGGAAGGGGAGGTCCAGGAGGCAGGATGCGGGGCCGGAGAGGGCGAGAATATGAACTGAAGTGGATGGAGATAAGCTTTGAGGGACGAGAAGCACGTACGGTTAACGGTTGCTTGAAAGCGGGCGGGCGGCAACGGGCAACAGAAGAATATCTTTGGCTTTGTTAACTATGTGAAGATGATATGGTTAGCTCGTAGTCTTGCTTCAGGTTTGATTTAGTTCCAGGTTGGAGTCGTGATTCTCGAGTGAGGATCTGGAGTCAGGATGTGCTTGGAAGCGCGACAGCGAAGTTATCTCCAAGTGATCAGGATAGTTCCAGCATAGGAGAATAGGACCTGCTTTCTTGGAGCGCGAGATCGCCTTTTGTCATGACGATTTGGGCAAGTGTCCAAGTTGAGTTTTGTTGTGATGTGGAGGGGTAAAAATCAAGGGATATCGAAGTTCACGAAGTGAGGATTGACAACCTCGCGCTTGAAGCTTCTGATGTTGAGCTCAAGCCTTTGAAGTCCTTTGCAATCGAGTCGCCTGACTCTCTCGCATTGTGGGACTCTCAAGTGAAGATGTTGGTGAAGGTGAAGGATGGGTTTACCTGGCTGAGTTGCCTTGGCGACGAGGAGTGAAGGGTGAGCTGAAGATGTGCAAAGGGCAAAGGGGAAGCAGGGAACGCAACGGTCGATAACACCTTTGAAAACTACTGAAGTCTTCTTGGGGAAGGGCAGGATTGATGATGGTGAAGTGGGCACAAGGTACTTACTCGACGCGGGTGGTAGCTTTTGCTGATGGTGTTGAGAAGAAGAAAGAGTTCGGTCAAGTGCGGGCTCGAAGATTTCAAGACTCAGCAGGGACGGGGGAAAGCACGGCGCGGGAGGGCAACTGGATGGGTGGAGCACGGTCACTGGTCCTTTGGGGGTGCCGACCTGGACCGAGAGATCGGACGACACTGGGCTGGAATTCTGTTGAGCAAGTTTACTCGCTTCACTTGGGACGGACGGTTACGAGGCTGGAAGACCAAAGTCCAGACGATTTGAGGCTCGTCCTGCGGTACTCGCCTTTCCTGTGGTTGACTGGCTCTACAAGTAGCTGAGGATCGGAGCAGAGGAGCGAGAGCTGAGATATCGTGAGGTTTGTCTTGCTACAAACAACATCTACGACAACCTTCGTCTCATCTGTCCGGGGAAGAAGAGAGGTTCTGGTCTTGCTCTGCTGGGTGAAGGCAAGAGGACGGTTGAGATGAAGTTGAAATTGCGCTTCCAAATCATCCTGCGAGATGCCACAACTGGATCGACAGAGACGACCACGTTCATCCGAGATATCATACAGGTATGGCTTGCTCCTTTTCTTAAAACTCTCCTCCCCAAGATGTACTCCTATCCATAACGCTTAGTGACTTGACTGTGGACCAATGTACATCTTTTGCAGCTTTCCACGCTTGGACTGGCATATTGAACCTCCTTTTCACATTCTGTTACTGCGTCTGTACAGGTATCTTCACGAGCTTACTTGACAGGTATCTAGAGAGGAAGGCACACATTTCTTGTTATTTTCGTCCGGCAAGATGGAGATTTGGTGAAGGATCGAGGGACTGGTCGGTCAGAAGAATTGGCCAGACAACCAATCTACCTCATCTACTGGACGAAGGCGGTATAGTTGAGCTCAAGGACCCGCCTGCCCAAGGAAAAGTAAGCAGAGGGCATAGAGGGGGGGGGGGGTCAACAAAGTTTAGGATGCGATAGGCCAGCTGGGTGGCTTCAGAATTACGGGTATCTTTCCTGCGCGGATGGTGATATTGTGTCAGATGCAGTAATCTCGCCAAGTGCGGAATTTGGCATAACGGAGGGATATGCCTTGGCCTCAGATAATGAGGAGTCGAGTGCCTTAACGATGTTGATACTCGGGAACAGGCGTTCATGGGCATGGTCACTACAGGAGAAGGCCTAGACACTCTTGCCTTCCATACCTAAAAAGCCAGCTCAGGTACGTGTACTCGGTATTGTCTTCCTGTTTGTTTTCGTCGTCTTCAAGTGACATCATTCATCGAGTCACCGGTCGGCGGCATGGATTCTAACACTCAAGTAGAGGCAAGTACTCCCATTTCAATGCTGAACCCCCCTCAGTGCGCGTCTGCCAGACTCGTAAGTACACTTCCCACGTGGTCACTGGGCAATACCAAAGTAGGTCTCTGCTGATTTCAAAAAATACAAAGTCCGTGCTTCCAGTCTGCCACTGGCGGGGCAGACTGTTTTGTATTCATATTTACTCCCACCGCGTTCTCCCACAAATATTTTCCTTCCCCTCCCCTCTTTCCTTTCTCTCATCCATCTTCCTTCTCCCTAACAAGGTCACCCTTACAGTTCCAAACAACAACCAAGATGTGAGCACCACCGCCACAAGCTTTCATATCTTCTTCTTTCTCTCTCAAGGAGGTCGTCGCTAGCACACAGCAGCAGCAGCAGCCAGTAGTTCTGGGACACCGCCGCACGAAGCCTCACCACAACCCACCCCAGTGGGTGGCCAAGAGTAAGTTTCCACCTTGGAGATTCAGTAGCACTGAACGGAAGCTCACACATACTCCAAAACAGGTTCGAGGCCGCAGAGTCCGCGTTGATAAGGCCTCTGACCAACCGTGGCATCGGCCACAACTCCCTCGCAAGGAGGAGTCAGGGTACTGGCCACTATACTACAATCCCATAGGGCTTCGCATCCCCAGACACCCTACAACAACAGCAGCCGATAGTCCCTCTAAGAAGCCAGCGTACTGCCAAAGCAGAACGGCAGCAAGGTTGCCATCATCAAGGAGATGTTCCCAGACTGGTCCGATGTTGATGTTCTATTTTCTCTCATTGAGACAGATATGAAAAAATGAAAAAACAATAAATTACATAAAACAAAAACACCAAAAAAACCCCCCAGAAAAAAAGAAAAAAAAGAAAGAAAGGAGAACGTCCTCAATGACGGCACCAGTGGCAGCACGACCACAACCACCCGCAGCCGCATCTCGGTACATGTCTTTACCGGCGGTAAGATGAGCGGCAAAAGCACCTTCATCAAGTCGGCTGCCCTCATTCAAATCATGGCACAGATGCCGGGCTGGTTGGTGGTATCGTTATCTTCGAGACCCCTGATGATGCACGCAACGCCATCCAGCAGTTCAATGGCTACGATTGGCAGGGCCGCATGTACGTTGGAGGGCAGGTGTTCCTGCGCAATCTGCGTCCATCTCCATCTGTGACAGGTGTCTTGACAAGAAGTCTCACCAGATGATTGCGCCTGAGAACAACCTGAGACTGGAACTCCCACTCGAGGACATGGAGTGGTACTGACCACTATACTACAATCCCATCTGGAGACTTACTTAGTCTCCGAGGCTCGTGTCATGTGGGACATGAAGACTGATCGCTCCCGCGGCTATGGGCTTCGTTGCTTTCCGTGACCGTCCCGATGCCGAGAAGGCTCTGAGCTCTATGGATGGCGAATGGCTCGGATCGAGGGCTATTCGTTGTCATCTTCTCAGCATCCTTGACGATGCTCTCACCATCATCGAGCGGGTCTTCCGGCACTGAATCCAAGCCGAAGCCGAAGGTACCACCACCACGGCCCGCTGCCGCATCCCGGTATCCGACTTCTTCAACTCTGATGTGCCCTCTCGCCGCAGTCCCGTCCAGAACGAGGACTAAGGGATCAAGCTAGCCCAGGTAACCGGTCTGGTTGGCTTGAGCCTTTCCGATCATTCGTCCGATAACCACGACAAGTGGCCAGGCCCGCAGCCGCATCCCGGTACTCCGACTTCTTCAACTCAGAGGTCGTTCTGGTTTCCCTTCTTTTTACGGAAGAAGAAGAAGCGTTGTCATCTTTTTGTGTCTCCTCCTGCTCCTCGGCTAAAAAAGACACGGGTTCGTCGACAACGGCAGCGGCAGGAACGCGAACAACAGCATCAGCATCAGCATCAACAACATCATTCCGGGCCATCATCAACATCCACCCCCGACGCACGGCCACGACTTAATCGAGACGTGATAAATACCTGACGGCTAGCTCGCAACAATGTCCACTTCACCACAACCTACCAAAGTCCCCCTGGGGGTGTGGTGAGGCGGACCAGGCGGGACATTCCATGAGTACTTTGGAATCATCAACAACCAGTTTGATCGTAGGTTTCAATTCAGTTCCACTTCCCCTGAAACAACATGATTATTTTACCTGGGTAGAAAGTATCACTAACGCAGCTTACAACTACCTTTTAGATCTACTGGAAAGGGCGACGAGAACGTCTCCAAGATCAGGGAGATGTCCAACGCCAAGTGCACGGTAAGTCAATCAGTCCCCTACTTTGTTGTGCATCAAGATTTGTACCTAGGCAATACTGACACGGCTTATTTCCAGAGTTGTTGGGAAATGGTAGGTAAATAGCAGTTCCGTCGGCGGCCTGTCTTGGAACACGGAACCTCCGTCCCCTGACTGTCCGGGTACGTCCTAGACATCCGGAGACGGAGCAGGGGAGGTCGTCGGCGGAACTGAAGTGAGGTGGAGGTGGGTTGGGTTGTATGGTAGCTAGCGCAGGTAGAGGGAGAAAATAGAAGGTCAACTTACCTCGGCACACCCATCCCGTTGTTTTGCGTGACTGTATACCTGTATGGATAACACTTACTTGTGTCATGGCCTCTCCCAAAATCTTTGGTGGCAGTCAGTCAGTTACAGGTAGGTAGGCACGTTAGTCAGTCGGCAGTCAGTCTCTTAGTCAATTTGAAGGTCTAGTCAACCTCCGGGTTTGCTAATTGACGGCAATGGGCAACCTTGGCGGTTGACCATTCACTACACCAGGGCAGTCACCATTTTCCCCTTCACTGACCAGTTGGCTGACAAAAAGATGGGGCCTTCACTTCGCTCTTGCACACATATTTAAATCCCACCCGCGACTCCCATCCAGCAACATGTACCCTTCTTGCCGAAAATGCCACCGACCATTTCCTGTCCCAACTTCAAGTAATCGACAGAAAATCGCCCACCGGCTTGGTAAATCTATTGTATACTTTTTTTTCTTTACCCTCTCAAGTATATATTGCCCTATCACCCGCACTACATTACCACAACAAGTATCACTAACTGGTTTCTTCTTTCCCTAGGACCTACCAAACTTCTCTCCATTCCTTGAGACCAGTCAAAATGCCCAGGAAGGACAAAGGCAAGGAAGTCGAGGGCCGCCAGGTCGACAACTCCAAAGCGGTCAGACCTCAAGTCACAAGTCGTCAAATTGCCAGCCCTCAAGTCAAAAGTCGTCAAATTGCCAGCCCTCAAGTCCATAGTCCCGAGGTCGACAACTCCGAAGCCGTGGCCAGTTCCAGCGCGGCCACCTCCAAATCTATCACCACCAACCCTGCTCCCAAAAAGCTGCAGCACGTCCTTTCCAGCCCTGCACTTCATCACATGAAGATGACCGTGAAGCTGGAAGGCCTTAAGAAGGCCAGGAAGGACAGGAAGGTTGAGAAGGAAGCGCACCCCTTGGCACAAACCGCGCAACCCACGCAAGCCACGGAAGGCAATCTTCAGGAGGACAAAGGCGCGGCGCATAAGGACAAGGCGCACGACGGGCAGGAGACAAGGAGGAACCCCAACCTCAACCTCCACCACAAAACATCTCGGACCGTGCCCGCGGCCGTCCTACCTCCAACCGCGAAGAGGTTGCAGTGCCAGTCGCCCCTACCTCTTACCCAGCGGAAGAGGCCATTCGCGAGATTCGTAACCGCAAGAGACGCAGAGCCAACACCAGCTCCCAAGCGGAAGCAGCTGGAGACCAAGCACCCGGAGACTTGGAAGCGCAAGCGCCAGCTAGGCCAGTGAGGCCAATCGCCAAAGCCCGCAAAGTCGCTGAAGTTTTCCCCAAGGCTCAGGTCCAGGTTACAACACGAAGTGGTCGTGTGGTAAAGCCCACCCTCCGCGCCAGAGAAAGGGAGAGCCAGGCAAGCCAGACGAACAACGGCGGCGCGGGCACGTCCAATGGAACCACCAAGAAAGCCGGCAAGGAAACCGACAAGAATCTGGACGCGAACAAGGAAGCGTACAAGGAAGCCAGGAAGGAAGTCACCCATGTGGCTTCGTCCGACGATGAGCAGGCCCCACGTCATGGTCCAGTCAACCAAGAATCGCCGCCTAACCAACACCACGCGTTTGTTACACTCAAGGCTTCAGATCGCCCCGTGGGAGTCGGACAACCTGATTCTGCACATGCTCAAGCCGGCTCCAGGTCACACCCACAGGCAGGCAGCTCGCAGGCAGAAGACTTGCCAGTGCGAGCGCCAGTACCAGTGCCAGTGCCTGAGCCGGGTACCGAGGTCCCTAGAGTTGTCTGGGGAACTCCAGTGCCTAAGCCAGCGCCGGTCGCCAACGCACCCGAGGTGCCCAGGATCATTCTAGGTACTCCTATGCCAGCGGCTGATCCAGCGCCGGCCGCCGAGCCTCCCACTGTTACCCTGGGTACTCCCTTAGCTACTCCATCCGGTACTCCTACACGTACTACACGCGGTGGAAGGGTGGTGAGACCTACTTGGAAGCTCAGGGGAGGTTGAGGGAAGGTTAGGAGATCTAATGGAGATGGAGAAGGTAAACGGCAAGGGAAAAGAACAAGGGCATGGAAAGATCATGATTGCGTTATGTGGAAGTTGGCTGGATTTGTTAGAGAGAAAATGGGAGTTTCAAAAGCAGGAAGGAACTTGGGGATGGCTTAGAAAATGGTTCAGGTTCAGGTTCATTTAGCTAGGGGGTTTAACAAAGGTCCCAGCCTTCAACAAAAGTAAAAGCAGGGAACATAAACATTCCAATTACAAATACCTCGGAACTGTCGCTTGTTTACCTCTAGGTATTGAGATGTGTGGCATATATGTGGATGTTGATGCTGGTAATAGTGCGAGAAGATAGAAGTCGTCTTAAGGGAGAGGACATAAACTTGACTCTTGAGCACTCGCAGGAGCAAGAAAGACATGCAAAAGTAACGCTCGAAAATAACTCTGACTGGGGGGCATGTCAAAGATGCGTGAAACTCTGTGAAGACGTGACGGGTGAGCATGAATGTGTTAAAAGAATGAAACCAAATCAAGCTAGAGGACTGGATCTAGAGTTGACCTTCGGGTGCGTTTTTGAAACAAAGAAGGTGGGCAAAGACAAAGACAACTTAAAACACTTGCGCAAAACAGTATTCGACTGATGGGAGAACAACGATGGCCTCAAATCCGAGTTCCTAAACCGTTACATGACACCCGTTTGTATTGACACGACCAGTAGAAGAAATGCGCAAGGGGGACATAATGAAGACTGGGAGTAGGTAGTGATAATATACATGTACATGTACAAACGAAGCAAAATAAAATACAGAGTATACTAAGGGAATGAACGATGAGTAGGTAGTAGTAGTGGTGTGTCCACCAAGCACTACTCGGGCTGCTGTGTCATGAACGCCGAACCAACATAAACTTGCAAGAGAAAAATACACGCCGAAGACAAAAAGGAAACAAAAACGTATAGAGTGCTGAATGAGTGTGTGCGGTGACTCACTATGAGCCACTGCGGTTTGATGTAGAGCATATCCAGGTGGTGTGGAGAAGGACACGAACGGGCGCTCTGAAAGAAGGCCGTGAGATATGGTCTCTTGACGTTGAGCTTCCTGACTTTCCTTGCCTGGAGTCGAAGTTCCCGTCCCATTCCATCGCAAACTCCCCTTAAACCCGCTTAAGCAAAAGCTTTTTATCTTCCTTGCTTCTTTCCTTGTCTCCTTCCTGAACTCCTTGTCCCGTGCCTTGCCTTCCTGCCGGGGTGGCGTCCACTATTTTCAAATTGCTTTGTTCCGTGCTCAGCTTTGAACACAGACGCGAGAGCAAAAGCCCGATTCCAAGTCACTCGAGGCGAGCCACTTACTCCTCCTTCTCATCCCCATCCTCCTCCGGCTCCGGCATAACCAGCTTAACATCAACCCCCTTCCCCTTCTCGGCCCTCCTAATCTCATAATGGCCACCAAGTACCAAATCCTTCGCCACCAGCTCCCTGGTACGGCCCAAGCTCTCGATAGCCGCAATCCTGTCGATCGTCGCCTGGAGGTGTTCGCGGAAGCCCGGCTGGGCAACGATCTCGCGGAAGGCGAGGTGCATGGGCACGGAGCTGGCGCGCACCTGGGCGTCCTTGGTGATGGAGAAGAGGTTGAGGCGGTCGAGGGCGCGCACAAAATCGGCGCGGGTCATGATCTGCTGGGCCTCGTGCAGGGCGTAGGAAGGCAGGACGTGGCCGACTACGGGGTCGTAGGTGGAGGAGCCGGCGGCTTCGATGATGGATTCTTTGTCGACGAGGGCGGTGGCTAGGACTACTGCTGCGGCCTGTGGATGGGAAGAAGGGGTTAGTTATGTGTGGGAGAGAGGAGGAGAAAGATAGGGAATGAAATAACGGGGGGAAAACTTACAGCCCACTTCTGCTGATCCATCACATCATCATCCATCTCCTCTCCGAGAATCCAGCACTGATTCAAGAACCACGTCTTCTCAATCTGCTTGATCTCATCACACGTAGCCAGCATATCATTGCTCTTGGCCACCCTGTTCAAGAAGTTTAGCCGTCCGCCCACGAGATCGTAGATCTGCTCCAATGTCCCATCGCTCAAATCCTCTCCAAAGTAGCGGTGGCGGTAATTTCTGAGCGCCGCCGTCGCCAGGTTCTTCGGCAAGTCCGTGATCGAGAGCACCTCCATGCGCGTCGCCAACTGCTTCAGCCGTTCATACACCCAGTAATCGTCACTGTTGAACACCATGGTCACCAAGTTGCTGGCAGCCCATTGCTCCGCTCTCTGCTGGAGCAGCTCGATCAGATCCTTACCGTCCTCGTCGTCGCGGATCAGGTGCATCTGGTTGATGATAACAACCAGCGGCCGCCCAATCTTTGCACGCCGTTTGAGTGCCACCTTTTCCAGCTTGTTCAGCGCACGTTCGATATCCAACAGCGCCGTAGTGTCGCGCGGGCCGCGCTCGCTGAAGTAGCTGCCGATGTAATCCTCGTGAAACTCGTAGTCGAGCGCCTTGCCCAGACGGATACGAAAGATCTCCAGGTCGGCATGAGCCTCGAACATGGCCACGCCGTCACCGTCGATCTTGCGCATGGCTTCCAACAGCATACTGCTCTTGCCCGTACCCTTCTCACCGATGAAAAGGTGGTAGTGCCCAACCTCCTTGCCAGCCACGATATCATCGACGATGTCCTGCTCGGGGCGTGCGATCCAATGCGTGGCGGCGGCAGTCTTGGAGAGCGGAATGTTCTTGCCGATGGCGGCGAGGTCGAGGACGGGATCGCCGGGCTCGAAGGCGTTGGACATTTTCTGGAGGACGATGTGCTTGTAGCTCTTGTGGTAGGCGTAGGCGGCGATGCTGAAACCGAGGCCGAGGACGAGTATGGAGGCGAAGGAAGTGGCGGCTGCTTCGACCATCTTGTGCAGGATCGACGGGTTCTCGTGTGGTGGGCAGTGGTGGTTTTCTTCGTCGGATTTGTGGCGGCGGGTGGTGTGAGCTGGGAAGGGTTAGTTTGTTCTCGTGTATGTAGCTTGGGGCTTGGGAAGATGTCATCCTGAACTGTGCGATGGAGGTACTTTGTGATGGGGCCAGGGCGGTCAGCTTGTCTAGGGAAGGGGCTTGGGAGAAGTGCTCAAAATCATCGCTTGCTCATGGAGCCTCCTTCAGTCGTCTCTCCACGGAGGATTTTCCAAAGATGCAACAAATGGCCATTGAAAGACCACCCCCCGAGGGCACAGGTGACTGGTATCGTCAATATCTGAGGCAGATAGGCCATTACTCCTGACGTTCAGCGAGTGGATTGCGGCTGTGGTGTGTCATGGGTGAGAACCTCCAGAAAATCAAGAGCCATGTATGGCCGACACCATAGCGACAAGGCGGGTTCGAGCCGAGGTGCCAAAAAGAACCACGAGGCTTCGGGGTTCAAGGCACAGTCCCTGCAAGCAGGGGCATCTCGAGGATCTCAAAGAGCCCTGTAGACTGCATGTACCGGCAGCCCTTGGACCCTGCATAAACCAAGCCGACGTTCCGAAGTCTTTACGGTACACGGCCTAGTTCGAGGACGAAGGCATACCCGGTGATACCCGTACTGAACATGGCACTTGCCATGGACAACCTTGGACCACCGTTGAGATGGTGATTCCCGAATTCGGACAGAGATAATGGCCATATCCATCGTCAATGGAGCTCAAGCCTTGGATCGTGAATGTTTACAATGCGAATCCACCCCCTGCCAAGCCAAGCCATGGCAATCTGGGGTTCGAGGCTGAGGTAAACAACGTGGCAGTGGGCCGTTCGGGCCAACTGGGCCACAAACAACACAAAGCCAAGCTTGAATCCTTTTTTCAGTCTCAACCAACAACTTTTTGCCATGCAAAAAAATGAACCAACAAGTGTTGGAGAGGGGGGCCGAAGTGGGGATGCCAATGCATAAAAGATGCTTGACCGCCCTGAAATGCAACAATGACTGGGTGTTGACAAATGGTAAGAACAAGAGAAAGTTGAACCCACCAAAAGATCTGCGCTGCTGATGCTGTTGACGTTGGAATAAGCTTCGCGCCAGAGGACTCGTCCCTGAAGATCCCAGCCTCAATCTCGGGGGCCATGCTGCTGCTGCTGCTGCTGCTGCTGTTGTGGATGTCGTCGTAATTGCGGGTGTGGATGTTGTGGTGGATCGTGATAATGTCGATGCTGATGACGATGCTGACGATGTTGATATTAAAGCGGATCCGGTCCGGCTACCGGAGACGGGAGTCCAACGCGCCAGCGCGGGGGTGGACTTGGTGACATGGTTGAAGTTGAGACCGCCGGTGGTGAGGGTGGACTTGCCGGCTCCGATACGCCAGGCCGCCGGTATCCTGGATGCCATGCTGATGATGGCGTCTAGAAAGTCTAAAAAGTCAAGAAATCTGTTGGGAAATTGAAGAATGAGAGGAGAAAAAAAGGGGTGGACCACCAGGAAAAAGCGAATGACGGGAAGGGAAAAGAACACAGAGAGCAAGAGAAGGGAGCTGAAAAGAAGAGGGGAAAATATGATGGTGCAAAGAGTGGATAAGTTGGATTTCGAGCAAAGGCCCAAAAAGGAAATGTGCCACCCTCGGGCTGCGTGTAGTCGGACTTGTTGATGAAGTGTCTTGCAGCAGGAGAATTGAAAGTTGACAGCCTCAAAGGGAGACAACCGGACGGGAGGGAACCCACAAAATCAACAACGGTTCAACATGCGACGAACAGTGGCTTGGTCTCTGGGCCTCGCCCGCCTTGGCATACGCTATCCCCCCGATCGCTTGGATCTGTCTGTGTCACTGCAGCTGAAAGCGGTGACCATGTCCACAGATGCTTGGCTTTTTGTTCCCGTCGCCTCCTGGAACTGCGTCGGCTTTCTCAAGGTACACGAGTCTGACAGGTGGCGGGCAGCTGCAAGATCATGCCAAGCACATTGGAGGACCGGCATCAATCAGTCGACGACATTGAGGTACGGAAAGAGAACCTGAAGAGGGAAACTAAAGACATAGACAATCAAAATGGCTTAGTGGTTGGAAACATGTTATCGTGCAGTTCGAGTGTGGAATCACGAAATATCCAGCCTGTAAATTAACAGTGTCTCCGGACACCGCCGGGCCTAATGAACCTAGGGTACCTCTAGGTAGCTGCCATGCGATGCACTTGGAGCCTCCCAACAGTGCATTCTTGTTTTCAGACGTCTTCAAAAGGCACATCCAATTAATTACCTCTACCGTATTCATGTTTCCTGAGAGCTCCATCTTCAACAAGCCGTACCTTGCCTGGAATGCAAGTCTCAACTCACCACGCCTTCTGCCACTGACGAGAAAATGTCTCCATTCATGTTCGACTGGCGTTATTGTTGTCTCTTCAGGCCACGATCGACGGCATGGCCATCACATTCATTTAACCCGACACCTCGCAAGCCTCCAGACAGATACCATCACGTCCACCAGCACGACGAGTTCGGGAAGGAAGTCTGCTCCCGCAAAGACACCAGCAGAACCACAACCGACCACCAGAGACCACAACCGACCACCAGAGACCACGAAGAACTCGGCGCAACGACCTAAAATCCGCCACGAGGGACAAAAGGAATCCGAGGATTTCCATCCTAGGAAGGGAGCCTTCAGTCTAGATGTGGCCACCCACTCGAAGAGAAAGCCCAGATGCCATGCAAGTCAATGGCCCATCATCATTACCCGTTTCATCGTCCTGGGTTGAACGCGCCAAGGTGCATCGGGCCTTGTTTGAGTTCATCAACTGGGTCGCCCGCATGGGGGCCAAGAAACCGGTTTCCTCCAAGATCAAGTCCTTACCCGTCAGACTGCTCCAGGAGTTGCTCGAGGCACAGGGCCGGCCTAAGCCTGAACGCCAGTCTCTTGACGACAACACACTTTGCTCCAGGGTCTACGAAACTCAGGAAGCCGATGCGCAGCACCACAAAGACAGATCGTCCTCATCCGACAGTGAGGGTGACGGCAATCCTGGCCATTCCACTTGGGCCCTCCGACCTGCCTACTCCCCGCAATAACGCCGCCATACAACAGCTGAAAACAGGTACCAATACTTTGCCGCTTTGTTTGATCAAAACAAGGTCACAAAGTCACAACTTATCAAGCACTTCGATCTCGCCTTCATACAGCACAGTATCGTCAGACGAGTCTGGTAGAACGTCGAGAGCACATTCCCACCATCCTCCCTGGTATCTGTTCTGATGTGAGCGCTTGGAGAGTTGGCAACCAGGCAGGCCCATGAAGATTCCGCCTGTCTTCCAGTTTCTGGACGCCACTTATCACCGATATTTCATCCAAAGTTGGGCGTTATGGGTTCGATGATGTTTCTTTACAAGCCATCCAGCAAGTTTGTTTGCTCCTGGAGCCGCATAATAAGCGATGATGGCAGAGGAACATGGGATGGGTTTTGGCGTTGGAACTGGAACCCATTTTTTCACTGATCCGGGAACATGAGACCAATATGTATATCTTCAACAGCCAGAGAGCTGGAGGCGTTTGTAGTTAGGCACAGTTAGTAACTTGTTCGTTTACTCTTCGTCTCTATATTTTCATGTCTTGTTCCGTGAATTGCAAATGTACTCAAGCATCCCAGCTACCGAAAGCAAAGCTTATGTCTTGACCATTGCCAAACACGTCTGTCAGGTTCTGTGAGTCAAAACAAATTAACCCTTCTACCTTCGGCATTCAGCATTGTTGTGTAGCAGCACAAGCACAAGACATACGATACGGTATTTACGCCGGCCTTGACTGTGAAAAGTGACCGTTCTTGTCAAAGATCAAAGTGGTGGCTCTGCTGGTAGTGCCGACAACAACGGGCTTGTCAGACGGAAGGCAGCCACAGGTCTTGAAAACTGCCATCTGAAACTACGTCAACGGTACATCGACTCGTATCGCTCCCTCCCGTTCATCAGAGATATCTCTAGGTAGTAAATTTCATGTAACAGGAGACAGCTGTCTGCCTAGTAGCCTTTCCCACACCCTCCTTTCCACCCGTCTTTCTTCCATCCCGGCCTGTTGACAATCCGTGCTGGCCTATGACGCGCACTCACTGGCCTGGCTTCCGTCACGGGCACTCCGCGTGCCTTCCAGTTCCAGAAACGACTGTCTACTACTGTACCTAGCCTTGGGCTGCCTTCGTTTGTGTTGGCCCTCCGACGTTTCGTCACCCGGCACGCACAAAATCTGGCCCACAATTTCTTTTCTCTGAGTACCCAAGTAGCTTTCCTAACCTCACTCCCTTTCCTCTACTTTCCTCCCCCACCATCTTCCTTCTCGTCATCAACACAAAAACACCTCCAAGCACCATGCCTACTCTACGCAGTCGCTCTTCCCTTTTCTTACCTCTAATTTACCCCATTGCCGCCATCTTCATGATCCTCGTTACGAGAGAAATACTCCTCTCATTCCGTCCACTTGATATCTCGCCGTTGGCGCGCTCTCGCGCAAATATCAAAATGGCAAGCTATCAAGCAAAGTGAGGCGTCAGTAATGACCACACACACACTCCACAAATTTCGTGAGTACCTAACCTCCTGTCCTGAATCATCATCCCCTCACCCTCCTGTTCCGCGTGGTCAATATCTTTGCAAGGCATCACCTCTACCGCGCGCGTTTTCATACCCCGCGGTATACCTTTTTTGCAATTTATCTCGTCGTCAAGTGACGGACATGTAACTGACACACAACAAACAGTCATCACATCCATCTTCCATCCTCCATCATCAACACTTCCTCACCATTCTT